TGGGCTCAGAGTGCACATGAAGCACACACACAAGTGAAAGTATCTCCCCAGGGAAACAAAAACACAAGCTTTCACTACAGAGACGCACCAGAGGGCAGTCAGTTCAACTTAAAGGGTGAAAGCTTCAGAGACATCTAGTGGTGAAGTTGTAGACTGCAGTTATTATTTAGAATAAACCAAGAACCTTCAGAGACAAATATGATGTCTCAATTAGTTTGTTTTTGGTGAAGGTATATATTTGAAGGAAAAGTTGTTTTTAAAAACACAGTGGAGCACTTCCTGTATTACCAGATGACATGACATGTTTGAGAGAAGAACTCAGCCTACATATGCAGAGTTTGTGTGTTAAACATGCGTGAATGAAACAAATCACAACTCCAGGTATGTTTCTGATGAGGAAACAACATTATAACAGAGATCCTTTAACCTCTCCATAGTTGATTCCTCAGTGATTCATGTAAAAGTAAACAGAGAAACACACAGTTGAAAACTCACAGGACAAAGTTTTTCTTTGGAGGACATGTTGTCTTTTATCCAAAACGTCCAAATGACCTGCCTGATCTATATATAGTTAAGACAAAAATATATGGTCCTCACTGTAAAGGCTGTCCTCTGATTTGACTGTTGTGCTGTTACCAAGGGCCCATCTTCACATCTGGAGCTGCACGGTGAAGAGTTGGAGATGCCTGCTTTCCCTGTAAGGTAAGAGTATTGTCATTTCAAAATAGATTTAAACAGGGACTCAGTGGAAAAACTACACACTGCAAAAACTAAAATCCTGTTTACTTTTACCATGATTAGAGTAAATTTCACTTGACAAGTAAAATGGTCTTAGCCAGGCTGGTGCCACCTAGTGCCTCCGCTCAATTTCATTTCTCTCCAGTGACTAGGTCAGGAATTGGAATACATTAGAAGGTTTGCAAAAACATGTGAGTTTGGGCACCAGCCAATCAGCGAAGAGCCATACATTTTGTGTTGCACCGATTCCCGAGATCGAGGATTTAAAGCCAGAACAAAGAGAATGTTTGGTGAAATTTATCAAGGGGAAAATATTGCCCTTCTTCCTACGGGATTTGGGAAAAACTTAACATACCAGTTAGCCCCGTTAGCAGCACATTACATACGTCAGGACCAAATAGCAGCAATTGGAAAAAAGTACCCGCCTAACATCGAGCGAACGAATCCTAATGCGGTTTAAAGTGAAACCGGCTGATGAATCAGACTAAAATGGTCTACCAATAGAATAAGACTTTTTGTAAATGAAAATACATCTTGTTACACACAGATAAGCAAAACAACAACTCTTTGCACTTTAAATAAGAATACAAAAAACACACTTCCATTGACAGATAATTTTACTTTATCTGCTCAAATAAAGTTCTTTATTTATGTCATTTTAAATTACCTAGATAATGTTTTTTGCAGTGCACCTGATTTATTATGTGTACACCAAATCAGAAACAGAATAATCCCCAGTAACTTGTTATACTGAAACTGTATTTAGGTAGATATATAGCTCTTGAACACTAACCTCAAACAGCAAATTGGGTGTTATACAACTCTGCGTGCAGCCGTACACAGACATACACAGACAATTCTACAAGGATTGCATGAGGAAGCAGGGCAGTCTGTGGAAAGGCAATGTTTCACTGCAAACAAGCTCAAATTTACTGCTGAATAAGTACTTCTGTAGGATATAGAGGAGAGGCCCAAACTTTTTTCTAGGTCTCCCCAAAAAACATGATGTATGTTCTGTTTAAGTCTATTAATCAGCCCGTGTGCCACCCTGTTCCCCCCGGTAAGGATATAGACCCAACCTCTTCTAGTGAGGGAGCTACGAAGGAGAGTCAAAATATTTATAGATCCTCGCACCTCCAACCATTCCTCTCCGGTGACATTCACTAACTCCCGCTTCAGCGAACAGCATTTTGTCAGCTATCGCCGGGTAGATAAATAACCAGCCGTCCAATCAGATTTTAATTTATTTTCTCCTCTTGCACAAGTCAAATATAAACATCAAGCGGCCCATTTTTGAAGGCCTGACCATGAATCATTCTCAGAAGAAGTCACACTGACCTTTTTGGGGAGTCGCCAGAGACTGTAGTGGCTATTTCCTGTACTGTAGGGTTGGGTATAGGCCGAGGAAGGGTAAGTTGCTATGGAAACACGTGGGGGTATGTTTTGGTGAGAGACCCAGACAAAGCAACACGTGACAAGATGGTCGTCCCCCTACAGATGGGACCTGTCGTCTAACCCAGAGACGAAAGGGGGACAGAGAGACACGAGGAGAATTAGGAAAAACACACTTGTTCCATTGGTCGGGGGGACATGACATGGGGTGACAGCGAGACACGGGGGGACGGGGGGGAAAGGCAGACACAGGGGGCAAGGAGAAAAGAGATGGACAGGGAGACATGGGAGGACAGGGAGACACGAGGGGACAGGGAGACAAGAGGGGGACGGAGACAAGAGGGCACAAGGAGAAACCTGGGGCAAGGAGACCAGAGAGGGACAGGGAGATACAGGGGGACAGGTAGACAAGGGGAATGGAGACACCGGAGGACAGGGAGACAAGGGGGAGAGAGACAAGGGAGGACAGGGAGACACGGGAGGACAGCGAGACACAGGGGGACAGGGAGACAAGAGGCGGACAGAAAGACACGAGGGAGACAGGGAGACACGAGGGAAACAGAAAGACAAGAGGAAGAGAGGGAGACACCTGGGGCTTGGAGACTAGAGAGGGACAGGGAGACACAGGAGGACAGGGAGACACGGGGGGACGGAGACACGGAGAGACAGGGAGACAAGGGGGGATAGGGAGACACCTCGGGTAAGGAGACGAGAGAGGGACAGAGAGACACGGGGGGACAGGGAGACGAGAGGGGGACAGAGACACTGGACAAATTAGGAAAAACACACTTGTTCCATTGGTAGAGGAACATGGGGGACAGGGAGACACGAGAGGACAAGGAGATGAGAGGGACAGAGGGACAGGAGGACAGGGAGACAAAAAATAGACAATTATCTATTCTAAACAATATTATATTCAAATACGGGACTGGTCCTGTGATACAGTCATCATTGTCATTTTTAGAATAATTTAAATTGTGTAGCAACAGTAATTTATAAAATATTCAAACATATTCAGATTCAAATACTTGTTTGATAACCAACAAAGTTTACAGTGATGAAGTTCTACATCTAAAATGAAGTGCCACAGTTACAACTAGAAAAGCACTCAGAGAGCGCAGACCTCCGCCAAGGACTACCCCCATTTTTTTATATAAATTGCGATAAAATCAGTCTTCTGGATCAGATCTGGATCAGCCTTTGGAATATGAAAGAGGATCCCATTGTCCATCCCTGAGTCAAATTTCATGGGGTTTGGTCAATAATTAACCGAGATATTGAGAAACAAAATTTTTGGCCCCATTTACCACAATGTTAACTAAAATTTCAAAGTGATCCAGAATCCAGGATTTCTTCCGGATCACCCCCAAAATGAAATCAGTTCTTCCTTTTCACATTTCCAACAAATCCTGAAAATTTCATCAAAATCGGTCCATAACTTTTTGAGTTATGTTGCTAACAGACAAACAAACAAACAAACAAACGCCGGCAAAAACATAACCTCCTTGGCGGAGGTAATAAGACTTCTCAAGTAAGGCTATAAAGTTTCTTAAAGTTATTTTGAAATATTTTTGTGTACCTTGTGGCACCATGGTCACTTTTGAACACTCACTGCAAAGTATCAGTACAATTTATACAGTAGATATTTGTGAAGTGTTTACAATAGGCAATTATGTAATTATAGTAGTAGTAAAAAGTACACTTTGCATATTTTTCTACACTTGAACTGTTAAAATGGTTACTGTAAAAGTTGTCAGTGGGCCTCATCATCAGCTAATAACGTCACACCAAACCTGCTGAGTGTTTTACTTTTAACCTCACAAAATATCAAGTGTTTAACCTTTCTATATTTAAAATTGAAAGTAAAAGTACAAAAGTAATGAAGTTGGCCATCCCACCAGTCCCGTTGGTCCGCCCACTTTAATTGGTTCTCTGCCTGCAGCCACAAAACAATAGGATCATAAAGAGAAGTGAAAGCGAAGGTTCAGGGAAGCAGAGGGCTGAACTCTTGACCTCTGAAGTAACTGAGGCCTGCCATCAATTTAAAACAAAACACCCATCGTCATCATCATCATCGTCGTCATCATCTACTGCCCATTGAGTGTGTGTGGCTCCTACAGGACAGAGACCCCTAGTGGACAAACAAGAGCAGAGGTACAGAGAGCAAATGGAAAACTTTTATTAACCCTTTTGTAGTTTCAAAGTGTCAAAATGTGACTTTTAGTAACTCAGTGGAATTGGTGTGCCTGGATTATATACATATACATAACATGGCAACAGGAATTGATTATCTTTGTTATAATGTTGTTTCTTCATCACAAACAGACCTGGACGTATTTTGTTTCCTTCACACATGTTTAACACACAAACCCTACATATTTAGGCTGGGTTCTCGCAAATAGAAAACACGCAGTTCCACTTCGTGATACCATGTGGTAGAGGTGGGAACTTGCAAGTTGTGACTTGGACTCAAGTCAGACTTGAGTCACCGTTTTTAGGACTTTAGACTTGACTTGCTAAAATGGAGTAAGGCTTGGGACTTGACTTGGACTTAAAGGTCAGTGACTTGGGACTTGACTCAGACTTGACTTTTAAATCTGAATTCTTTCTATTCTAACCAAAATGATTCACACAAAGATCTTGTCAAGGCATAAAAAAATATAAATAAAAAAAAGGCATTTCTACAACTCCATATAAATACTCATATATAAATATGCTATGACAATTTATCTGAAAAGTCATATAAATTGCAAAAATCTAAGGTATAATTGGTACTTTGGTAAAGACTTAAATTGTCATGGACTTTTGGGCCAGTGATTCGAGACTTGACTTGGACTTGCCTGTATTTGCTTTGGGACTTGACTTGGACCTGAGGTCAAAGACTTGAGACTTACTTGAGACTTGCAAAACAACAACTTGGTCCCGACTCTGCCATGTGGTAATACAAGTGTGACACTGTTTTTATCTTCACATGAGGTAACAACTTTCTAACATGGCTTAAAGCTCACAAGAGGCACTTATGTGTAATATAAGACCTTTAATTCATAAATTGGGCTGCCTCTGTCATCTGCTTTCAGAATAATTAAAATTGTATCTCTACAACCATATAATAAATGTATCATTACTTTTTTGGAGTGGATTCTTGATTCTGAGCAATTTTCTTGATCTAATCTCCCAAGCACCTCCCCCACATCTTCTCGCTCTCCTCCAGCCTGGACCTTCTAGCTGGAGTGTCCCACAAAAGACACATCCTTCAGAGGGGACAGGAGAGAGTGGGTTCATCCCTCTAATCCCAGACTACAGGGCACCTCTTCACTGGAGAGGGCCAAATCCACTGATCCTCTCTCGTCCTCTCTCCGCTGAAAGAGTCTGTCTCTCCAGGACGGCCACAGCGGGACACGGGACACCAATCCGGGGACCAGCGTTCTCCAGCACACCGTCCTGTTGTTTTACACAGATAAAAACCGTTATGCTAATGTGCCTGGATTACATACATATACATAACATGGCAACAGATGCTATGTTTCAAGTGATAAGCAAAGCACTAATCTCCAAGAAATGTCTTTGCTGGTGTAATCCTGCATGTGGTTGTGTATCGGTGTGTGATTGATAGGCGTGTGAATGTGGACTAACAATATAAGAGTAATATTACACAGACTCATTTGCATTGTGGGTTTTTTATGCAAATGATCCCATGTTACAAATAATTATGAACACTCACTTTAAGGTTCAAGGCTCGAGGTTCTTTAATTGTCATTCAAACATGCAAGAGAAACGAACAAAATGTGTTAATCAAGACACAGTGATTAAAAGAGACAAATAATAATAAATAAGCAGTATTAAATAGTACATTCAAAAGCATTTAGCAGTTACAAGTTTTACAGTTGCAAGTGGAAAGCAGAAAGGAAAGTACAGTTATGGTAAAGCAATAGCAGGTATTATATGGTGTTGTTATATGGCAACGCAATATGGCATTTACATTTCTTAGATCAGAGGTCATCAAACTAAGGCTCGCGGGCCGACTCCAGCCCTCCACGCCCCTTTGACCAACCCCCAGCCCCTCTGCCCCCCACCACTTGAACTGGCCCTATGAGGCAATCCTCAAAAGTAGTCATGGCCTATTTATATAACAGCACATCTGAATTTTGTATTTTGTTGATTTTTTTCAATTAAAAAATATATTTATATGAAGTATTTATATTGATATTTAAATAATTATATGACATATTTACTTTTTCCGCCAAATTTCCATCACCTGACAATCTCGAGATCAGACAGTGACAGTCAGTGCATGCGCAGAGTTCTGTAGTGCAGTTAAAGACAGCAAAATGGCTGTATAAAAACTTCTGAAGTGCGGTGGTTTTCAAAGAATATAATCTGCATCGTCAGGGTCATGCAATTCTGTTATACAACCTACTCAACTCCAGCCCCCCATTACAGTCAGGAGCGATAATGTTAATGATAAAAAGTTTGGTAACCCCTGTCTTAGATGAACGATCGAACAAAAAAATATTATGTAATAGACTGCTCATCTAAAATAATTAATATAATAAGAACATGTTTTACTTTAAAGGTTCTATATTAAGCTTAATTGACTCTTGTGAGCTTTAAACCATGTTATAATGTTGTTCCGTCCTTTAAAACATACCTGGAGTGGTATTTGTTTCATTCACACATGCTTGAGTAACCTGTGAGAACCTCTATTAGTCTGTCTACATCTCGAAAGGTCAAAATGCTCTTGTGATGTAATGAAGCGGTAGTTTTCAAGTTAATGACTCCTTTTACAATTTGTTCAGTAGACAGTGGCAATTCCAGGTCTGAATTTATCCAAATGATTCTAGTGAAGGTGTATGGAGTTTGAAAACACAATGGAGCACTGTGTTACATGTCATCACAAGGTGGAGCAAGATTTATGTGTCAAATATGTGTAAATGAAACAAAACACAATTCCAGATCTGTCTGTGATGAGAAAACAGCATAATAACAGATGAGAAAATACAGCATAATATGGGTCCTTATAAAAGATCACGTCGTCTTGAAAAATGTGGTTATGTTTTGGGTAACATGTTTGAGTCATCAAATTTACATCATTAGTCACTGAACTATAAACAAGCTTCACTGTTTCCCAAATATAACTTCACCAAACAAAACATTTTATACTATGGCGTCACAAGTCACGAGGTCGCACTGTTACATGGTGGTACTATTGAGATCTCTATGACAACCTCAGCCTCTTTTTAGATGAAAAGGTTTGGTCCCACCTTGTGACATCATTAGGTGGTAATCCAGACTCCAAGTGCCAGTTCTCACTTTGCCTTCAATGACGTATCTCAACATTTATAATTTTTAGCCCCATTTTCACTGCAGTTGATGTCCTTGTGCCCTCTACAGGCAACAGTGCAGGTTTCTTTGCTAAAAAAATCAGGGTTGTTATATTTTATGTTATATTTTAAACCCTTAATGCCTGAATTTATATAGCCGTATATAAAAAAAAAATATGTGTGTGTTTTTGCCTTTAAGTAGATGGAGAACTAGAAACACGTGCTTGCCAAAGGTTCCTAGAAAGATACTGCATATCTCGGTTTATATCTTGATCCAAACGGTTTGTTACATATTTATGGCAGCGTTAAGGGGTTAATGAGTAAAATGGTCCAAAAGTTAATAGTTCACTTACCACGAATAATACATAAATATGACACACAACTTTCTACAGTCAATAGTTCTTCTTCTACTCCAAATTCAGGTGACAGCGTTGCACACATTGGACAATACTTTTTCAAAACATGTTAAATCTTAAAGCGTGTGAGTGAGTTAACTTTAAAAAGTCCCCACATCTTGAACAAAAGTTGTAGTTGCATAATATAATACAGTTTTTGTTTATTGTTATTCCATCATTCTACACCATAGAGGAAAAGTGCTCCCTGCCCTTTGCTTTATTGAGTTATTCTTTGGTAAATTCCTGTCCCTTGCTGTGCTCAGACGTATGCATATGAGCTACAAATTGCCTGGATCCTTCTCCATGGTTATGTGTGGCGTGCGTGTGCGTGCCAGTGTCCCGGTGCGAGTGTGCGTGGCGTGGAGTGTGCGCCTGTATTCAGCCTGTCCCAGCAGCTAATGAGCGCCAGCCACCTCTCCTCTCCTCTGGGTGCCCCTGACACCTCTCCTCTGCAGGGCTGGAGGGGCTGCAGCGCTCCCGTTTTCTCATGCTAATCACACGCTTTGTCCCCACGCGGATAATCCTGCACGGGCTTTGTGTGTGGGGCCCCCGAGGAGAGCCCCACTGGGTCGACCCTGCTCCACGCTACGAGCCACAAAGAAGATGGGACACCCCACTTTAGGCTGCTGCAGGCGTAGGCGGAAAAATAATATGAAAATCTGTCAAGTTTTGTAGAATGCTTCATGTGAAAGAACTATATATTAGTGAAAAATGACTGGTAAACCTACATGTAGAAGAAAAGACTTCATCCAGGCAGCTTTGAGTACAGATAATAATATAGTATAGTCGTCATACTTGTAGTACCATGTAGTTTGGTAGTAGAGGAAATAGTAGAGCAAATACCTCCACAGATCCCAGCATTTGTACTGCCTATTTATAGTATATTAGAAATGTATGTATTTTCACTTTAATAAAGTAGCGTCTAAATATGGCGTGCACTAGTTCAAAACACTTGTTCAGCAAGTTTGCGCAAGTAAAATAAGCCACCTCATATCTGGGTCAGACAGTCTCAATATACAGCTACAGTATGTTGCTATAACATCCATTATGTGCAACATTCTTACTCAAAACAAGCTTTTGTTTAAAGGTCACACAATGTGTTCTCTGGGTTTGACTGTTCAGACAGAAGCAGCATTAGAGGTGCTTCAGATCCGTAGGCAAGATTGTGGTTGTGAGAACCTAGCTGGTGACTAAACTCTACTATGCGTGATATTAGTAAATGGAAACTTGCTCCACACAAACAACTAAACAATTAAAACATATAAATATAAATACTATGTGTATGAAGGCAGGTAGCTTCAATAATACTTCCATAATATATCAAACAGTGCTATACTAACAACTTATGAATAAAACAAAAAAATTGTCTTGATGCCAAAACATTAATGCCCATCAGTGCCCCTCTGCCCGTGGAATAGTAACATCATAAAGCACCGAGTGACTCTTTTGGAAGCATCCCAACATTCCTCTCCCTGAACCCCCGAATGGAAGATGGCTGTGGGGCAGTGAGCGCTGAGGGCACGGCGTAGCATCAGGCAGATCATTTCAGCTGAATATCTGCAGGGCGAGAGAGGAGCTACACACTGTAGTAGAGGAGAGAGAGCAGGCAGGCTGCTACAGGTTTCTCTGTTCACACTAAAGAGAAATGTAGAATTATCAAGGCTGGGCACAGAGCCTTAGCCCTCTGCACTGTACGTCGTAATCAAAATATGTTTTATTGTTTTATATCCAACTGTCAAAGGTGTCAAAGACTTTTTTTATTGAGAAAGTTGGAGCATTTAAAGAAAAAAACAAACAACCAAACACAAGCAGAATGTGCATAAATTGAGACATTGTTCCTGTCATGGCATGAATGTAAACATCTTTGCCACTGTGTCATTAATCTGTCTTAACTAGTCTAGAAGAATTATATCATTTATGTTTTTTTTTGTTTTTTTTTTCCTTTGGGCTTGGTGAACTTAACAACATCATTAGCTCAGGTTGCAAACAGTGCCCACCAATATCCAAGATGGCCGCCCTTGTTTTGATTATCCACTACAGGTTTTGGTCGGATCTGGGCGGAAATTGACAAAGTGATGTGAGGTCCCTCTGAAGGAATGAATGTGCCCCAGTGGGTCCTGATCCGGGGGGAGTCTGCAGCTCTGTGGCCCAGTGTGAAGAGGCAAAGACGAGGTTTGTGATCCTGGGCCATGGATGGGCCAAAGCCAAGCGTCTGTCTGAGCACACACACGGACATTTTTGTTCCGCAAACAAGTGAGCGCTGGAAATCCCACTGCTCCCCTCCAATAATCCTCATTGGGTATTCTGACCGAGTTGTGCGGTGGACACCAAGTTGACAGACAGAGTTAGGGAGTAAAAGAGGAGCCAGAGGGAGGACACAAAAGCTCCACTCCTCCAGTCCTGATTGGTCCATGGCATTGGGGCTATTCTCTGCTGTTTTTGCTAATTGGCCACCCAAGCATTGAGTTCAACCCAAACACGTGCAATTGCCTATACTTCTATATGGCACACCGCCGGCTCTTCTTCTCTCATGTACCTTCATAGAGCCTATGCTGGAGCCTGGTTGCCATGGTGAGCAGAAGCTTTTCAGGAACGAGTGAAAACATTTTGGAAAACGTCCTTCATTACTGTCCACAACAACAACTGTACTCAAAGCACGCAAAATCCAGTTGCAGTTTATTTGAAAAGCATCACAGAAGTATGCATAAAATTTAGTCAAGGTTCCCAAAAAGTTTTCCGCGAATTTGACTCTTGTGAGATTTAAACCATGTTAAAATGTTTCCTCCTCGAAAACATACCTGGAGCTGTGTTTTGTTTCATTCACACAGAATAATTCTTTATTATTAGTTTGTCTGCATCTTTATAAAACAAGTTGCTTTTTACCTTTTGTTCTGTAGAGATTGGAACTTCCAATCATCCAAACGATTTTAGTGAAAGTGTATGGATTTAAAAACACAGTGGTGCACTTCCTGTATTACCACATGACATCACAAGGTGGCATTGAGCATTCTGAGCTTTGGACATGTAG